AATGCCGTCTCGCCATGATTGGGCCGGTAATCCGCTTTGCTCTTTGCCCTTTTTTTGCCCCGTGTAGGGTACCTGACAGATGTTGGCCGGTAGAATTGACGATGAAGGTGCCCTCTGGCCACCGGATTCACTCTCTTCGCTGCCTGGTAGATGTTGGGTATCTTGCATGATTCCACTCCTCGCTCGTCCCCTGGTGTAGGATAACTAACTATAGTAAACAAGCATGCTAACCATCTCTGTAGAAATCACCTAACACACAGGCCGCCTTCAACAACTGGATCCTCCAGCAACAATCCCCCGCGGCTCCCGATAAATCCCCCACTGTTTCCGACAAATCCACAACGGTTCCAGACAAATCACCACAGCCAAACCTCCGCGCGCCCCGCAAATCCTACAAACGCCCGCGGCCCTCCCCCCTCTCCCGTGTCTCCTCCACATCCACAACCTCCTCGTCTTCGGTGGCACCTTATGACAGTGTCTCAACAGCCGGCACAGAATCCACCGCCACCTCCACGAGCAGCGTGTTTCCGTGGTGCAACCCCACGCTCGAAGATCTCACCGCACAGCTCGCTGCTATGAATAACCTCCTCAATGTCTCTGAGAATGAGACACTCGAGAGCATCGTGTTCGCGACAGCCAAGGCCGCATACGAGAAGGAGGAGTTCGACCGTTGCCAGCTATGGATCCTCGATTCGGTGGTTCGAAAAAAGTTGTCCGACAAATCTCAAGAAATAGTGAAAATGCCGCAGATCCCGGAGGTGCCGGCGAAGCTATTGACCTATCTCGAGAGGTACCGCGAGGTGGGTTTTATTTCTCGGTTTTTGTTTAGCATAGTCAAGAGGGATCGGAGGGGTGTGGCCGGAAAGCACAAGCGCTCAAAAAATTCAAAATCAATAAAACACATTACATTACCCGTTCCCCACACTTTTGTACCTTGACCTGTTGATGGCCCTCATGATGAGCACCTCCTATGAAAATATACCGCATCATCTATTTATCAAATGCTAAGGTGATATAAAGGTCAAAACTCTCGAAGACTGCTTCGCCGTCGCCGCCAAACCCCACGCCGACCTTTTTGACACAATCACAGACACAACCAAAACATGGATTGACGATGTCATGAAGTTCTCGTCCGTCCCACCTCTTTATCCTCTTTATCCTCTTATCACTAACAGCATCTAGTTATAAGCTCATCACCACTTCATTCCTCACCCTGCCCCTCCATGAAGGTTGCTACGATTCATCGGTTCACCCCCTCTTCTGGCAAAACTATTTCTTGGATTCCCCGCTATTCTGCCAACAGTTCGTCCCCCTCCCTCCAGTCCACTCTGATCTAAACTGATAATTCCCGAACAGAAAGGAAACGAAGCTTCCAACGCCGAACCCGACCTCTCCTCTTGCAGCGCTTCGCTGGGATGGGATATTTCTCCCCAAGCGCGCCCTCATCAACGGCACTCGCCCCGCTTTCGGCCTTGTCGAGGTGTGCCGTGACATTGGCACCGACGCCGTCAAGTCCCGGCGTGACTGGCAGAAGCTGCTGGTTGGATGTAGGGAAATACTCGCGGTGTTGAGGTGCGCTGTGGAGGGTGATGCGAAGACGATCAGCGAGCTTGCGGTCGTGGGAGTGCTGATGACGGGTATGTACTGCTCTTTTCTAAGTTTATGGAGAGGGAGAGGGGACTAATGTGTGCTGGATATAGGTGCTCAGACGACAGTCATGGTCATGGGCTGTGTCGGTGAGAACTTGTATGCGGTTGTTGAGGGGGGAACGCATGTCTTTCCTCCGGATCTGAGAGGCATGGCCAAGGGCGTGTCCAAGTACGTGCAGCCGATTTGGAGAGCGAAGGTATGTTAGCTTTGTTTTATAAACATGGTTATGACTGTGCTGACTGGCGTGGGTGAAGGAAATTATGTTGAGGTCCCATGCGCTGGTAGAGGCTTATTTTGAAGATAAGAATTACGAAATTTAAGTCGCCATATTGACGTATAATATGCTGTGTCCTCGATCATGTGATGCGTTGATGTTCTAGTGGTGTTGTTGTGATTGTAGTCTGCTGGTGGGGTGGAGCTTGTTTCTACTTATCGTCCATATTATACCCGCCTGGAGCAACGAATTTTTCTATTATCAGCCTGACCAGGAATTTGTCCATCTCTATCCCTGCATGTTGCTGTGGTTCGTGTATTAGAAATTTTAGGCCAACGATCAATTTTGAAAATTGTCATTTGCTACCCAGCAAAACGGTTCCCGCAACTAGCTGTTTTGAACCCATTTTTGTATGGGGATCGACATGGAACCATCAATTTTGCTACCCGCAACCATCAATTTTGCAACCAGCATTTTTCAAAATTGATAGCTTAAAATTTCTATTCTGCAATAAATATATCAAAAACTATATTTCATCCAAAGAAAAGGAATGGGATCTGGCGTGCTTAGTGTGAATGAGATTGTGCCTTGGTATTCGACAGTATCACAGTATCACATGGAGTTTTTGGACGAATGAGAAGCTTCTACATACCCCGCTTTTTGGGTCGCTTTCCTCCGAACCGATTTTGAGAGTTGGTCACTTTGGGCAACTTTGAAATGCAATACGTACCAATCGGGTAGTGTGTCGCAACATAAATGCGCACTGTTTAATATCCTCGGGGCAGGCAAGAAGAACCTGAAAATGACTTTTGATGGTAACGACCACTGATTCGCGGCTGGCGAAAAGCTACACCAAATTGCGTCCCTGCTTGCAGCTTGCATTTTCAGGTTCTTATTGCCTGCCCCGAGTATTAAAACATCCAGTGCATGTACCTACATACTCGCGACAAGCATGAAGTACCCGAATATGCAGCTGCAAGTTTTTGGTGTATTTTTGACTTCTACTCCAATGGAAATTGCAGATTAGGACGTGCATTTTCGGGTACTTTTTACCTGCTGCGAGTAGAGTACCTCTACCTACCAGTCCAGTTGTAAACCGGACAGGCTGGCCCGGCCCGTATTGTAGCTCCCGCGCAGAGATCAATGCAGGTTTCTCCGGTCCAATGGGCTCTCCTCTTGACTATCCAAACTTCTCTGTTCGACCTAACGTACCCCCTCTTCTTTAGCTTAGGCTCTGTTCGGACGGACGTGGTATTCAATACTGTGGTAGAGTAAATTCGGTGGCATGGTGTCATGCTCTGAGATAAAATGAAGTATTCGCCAAAGACAAAAAGGTGTTCGGATGGGATTGAGATATTGTTGGGGAGGGGCATGAAGATACGAGAGAACGAAAAATAAATACCTCCAGAGGTATTTGTTAAACCATGGTATTTTGTGGCGTATTCATGGTATCAAAACACTCAAATCTACTATGTACTGGATTATGGTTTTGCGGAACGCTTGCGCATTTGATTGGCCGAAAGGTGCAGGGGTCGATTTAGTCAGCACTTTCCCATAGCAACCGGCCCAACCCACCAAAAATTGGGAAGTACAGATACTGGCATGCCCGGTATTAACTTGGTATGAGGGTATCAATTATACTACAGGAGGTGGAAATACTACGGGGGGTGGTCAACTATGGCGGGTGGGCAATTATATGAATCGAGGATGAGAATTATTGGAGCTGGAAAGTAAGAGTAATTTTTGGATATGCACTGGACTGATCGAGAGCATCAAATTTCGCTAGAAACCGTAATTCAAAGCACAAATAAATGGGCAACTACCGGGGGAGGTGGCCGGAGCTGGCCAAGTACTGGAGCTGGCCATGGTCAACTGCGAGAGCTGGCAACTCCGGGAGCTGGCCATGGGCAACTACTATACTGGAGATGGCTAAGGGATATATTAACTACTGGAGATGGCCAAATACTCACTATGTTCACTGGAGGTGGAAAGTAATAAATGTAGGTGGGCCACTACTAGTACTAAAGTACACTGACTTACTACACTGACTTACGCACCTTCTCATTCGGCAACTTTCGTCCATAATTCAGCAAACTTGCAGGTCAGTCTAACCACAATGCAGACGGGTATCCAATCGTTTTATCTGCATCATATCCTAGTTCGCAGGACTCGGCGCAGGTTGCAAAGAATGAAAATGAAAGTTGTGCCCAACTAAAAGCCTCTAATACCATGACCGCATTATGGATTGGATTACCGATAGGCCAACAAATACAGTCGCACCTCGCTATCTCGTAATTCGATATCTCGGATCTCTTGCTGTCTCGTACGGATTTGCGGGACAGGTACTACCCTTCTCCACCAAAAACTATTTGCTGTCTCGTATACTTGCTATCTCATAGGGGTTTGGCTCCCAGAATACGCTAACGACATAACGAGGTGCGACTGTAGGTAGAGTACACACAGCGTTTCCGTTATGTGCTTGCTTCATAGGGACCGAGCAGAGAGGGCCTCCACCACACAGGATGTTTCTTGGCTGCAGGCTTAGTGCTAAATTTTATATCAAATTGTATGGTGGAGGTCCTCGCTTCATAGGGAAACGCTGTATTGCAGACGCGCACCCCGCCCCGAAGAAACGGGCTGACTGAGAGTGAAAAGTGAGCCTAAGGCCAAAGGACCTAATTCCTTCACCAGCACTGAATTCAACTCATTTATAACCTGCAAAGATTATTTGTGCCCTCAATCTCACCTTTTTAATTATGTGTAATCACCTACTAACATGTTTGTAATATATTGATCCTGCGCGTGCTGTGGGGTCGTCCTCTCATGAAGATCGATGATCTAGGCGAGGATCTTGTGATAACCTACCGTGGGCTGGTTTGAAATTGTAAAATCTCACAAGTCGGGACAAAGTTTTATCGGCCAGTTCAAAAAGATTTGGGGTGTATGTGTGTAGGTCGGTATGTACATACCTACATACTTATTGTCTCCACCCCCCAATAAACGGGGCTCGGCTAGCTAGGCCTCTATATTTTGGAGGTAAGAAACGGCTGCTTCCCCCAGCTCTAGCATTAAAAATACAACACTCACTATCTCCCTCATTTTTAAACTCGAAAAAACAGCCACCTACGTTGGAGCCATGCCCTGGGAATATTTGTTCAAATGGGCCCCTGGATCTAACTCGGGACCGCCCCCAAAGGTAGAAGAGATAGTCAAAAGTGTAGAAACTACAGCTCCAAGCGCGGCGAAGATAGTCCCCCAAAAAGGAGCAGTCTTCAGAGTCGCAGGCATCCCTCCAGCGGAAACAATCGGAGATCTAGATGATATTATTCGCATTTTGAAGGGTTCGTTGTCAGAGGCATTTCCGGGGGACACGTTCGATATCGAGGCCACACTTAGTGGATCCTGTTACGATAATACTCGCACTGCTCTGGTCAGTTTCACGCCGTCAGCGCCCCCTGAGTTGAACGGACTCGCCAACAGTGGCACTCTTGAAATCCCTTACAACGGTACCCGCAAGGCTTTGATCATAGACAGGGACTTTTATGGTCTCACCCAGCTCTATCAGACGAAGGGAGAAGTACGAGCAGAGTAGGCTCCCACCCCAACGAGACTTAGTGACATGAGCTAACCTTTTATAGCGTTGTAGCTGTACCTAGGCTTAATGGCCATGCGTATGGTTCATGGAGGGGGGGGTAGGCTACAAATGATGTGGCTTCGTGACTTCCTTGAGGAGGATTTGCCAGAGTGTAGAGTTATGATATATGGGTATAACTCAAAACTTGCAAGCAACTCCACCCACACGATTCCGGACTATACGGATTCGTTTTTAGAGGAGTTGAAGAAGGCGAGGCAATCGGAAAAGGTAAGCTTTTGTACTAAGAAGTGAGGATACTCAAAATCTAATATTCTGTCTCAGGAAAGAAATAGGCCAATAATATTTATTGGTCATAGCTTCGGTGGTGTTATCATTGCTCATGTGATCGATACTCAAACGAATCTTCAGATTGTGTGAGATGCTTATTTACACGGCCTAGTCTATTGTCAAAGCAAAAGATCATCCCAATATTCACGGCCTCCTGTTCGAGAAAACTCGCGCTACGATCTTTTTTGGTACTCCTCACCGTGGTCTTATAGTCGACGATATGCTCGCTATGCTTGAGCTTGATTCCCCTAGAAAAGAACTGGTTTTATCGCTTAGTAATGCCTCCAACAACCTCGGATCCGAGTTAAAAAGATTTATCAACTATACCACGATGACAAATCTAAAGATAGTCAGCTTCAAAGAAATACAACAGACTCGGAAACTAAAACGGGTACGTCCAAGTCATTCTATAATGATTTATGACTAATTATTTGTTAGGATGAGAATGGCATCTGGTCCAGGAGCGGCGAATACTTCATGGCTGTGGATAGTGGTTCATCCGTACTTCAACTTCCGGATACAATTGAAGAGTCACTGTCTGTCGAGGGAGACCATTCTACGATGGTCAAGTTTGAGAATAATCGAAATCCGACATATACCAGTGTTGTCAGGCACCTCAGGAATTTTATTTTGGATGGCAGTGCCATGGCTAAAATCAGTGAAGGTGAATAGTACATGCATATACCATGATATTAGAAGCCATAACTAAGAATATCTCAAAAGAACAGTTCCCCACGGCATGTAGTGCTGTGATTGGTAAAAGCGTTACCAGCCTAGAACGAATTCTAAAAGCAACACCGTCAGTTGCGAATACAAGGCAAATGAATGGTACAACTACACTTTTGCATTTGGCTGTTGAAACTGGAGACGAAGATATTGTATACCTTCTCTTAAAGTATCAAGCCAGTATGGAAGCTGTAGACGAGAAAATGGAAACAGCATTTCACCTAGCAGTACACAAAGGATTCAGAGGGATAGCTGTATTGCTCCTGAAGAACGGTGCTAAAATCGATTAACCTTGCAAAGGCATGACGGCACTGCAAATCGCGGCGGAGAGCGGTGATAGTAATATGGTCGTGTTGCTTCTGCATAACAGAACGTATATCGCGGCGGCAGACGACAAAAAGCGCACAGCACTATACCTGGCAGCTATGGGAGGGCACATCGATGTGGTAATGATACTTCCGGAGAAGGGGGCAAACCCGGCGTCTACTGATGTGGATGGATTCAATGCCTTGCACATGGCATGTAAAGGGGAGCACGAATGTCATGACAGAGTGGTGAAGGCTCTTCTAAAGAATGGGGCAAATATCGAGGCGGTGACCAACACCAGCCACACAGCACTGTATCTTGCAGCGCTGCATGGGAATAACATTAGCATAGTAGACTTCCTCCTGAAGAACAGCGCAAATGTCCACGCCACAACCGACACTGGAAATACGGCATTACACGCTGCAGTAGAGAAAGGGCATCAAGAGGTAGTAGAGCTTCTTCTGAACAGCAAGGCCAACGTCCACGCGAAAAACAAACTCGGTATTACGGCACTGTACCTTACTGCAAATCACGGGCATAGAACCATTCTAGAGCTCCTTTTAAGGAATGGTGCCAGCGTTCATGTGGCGAGTAGTACCGGACATACGGCACTACATAATGCTGCGTTTCAAGGATATATAAGCATTGTAGAGATCCTTCTGATAAATGGCGCAAACGTTGACGCGGCGATCGATGGCGGATTCACGGCATTGCATAATGCAGCGTGGGGAGGGCATCAGGAGATAGTAGAGATGCTTCTAGAGAGCAAGGCTACCGTCAGCGCGAAAACCGAAACCGGCCAGACGCCATTGCACTCTGCTGCATGAAAAGGGCATACAAGCATTGTAGAGATCCTTCTGAGGAATGGCGCAAACATTGACGTGGTGAACAACAGCGGATATACGGTATTACATGATGCAGCATCCCAAGGGGATGTGAAGGTATTCGAGTTCCTTCTGAAGAACAACGCAAACATAGCTTTAATCGCAGGGACTGGATATGCTGCTCTACACATTGCAGCGCAGAACGGACATCAGGGGGTAGTTGAGCTCCTTATTGAACATCTTCGCGACAACAACGACCGGCCATACAGCAATGGCACTCGCAAGCCACAACGGACATAACAATGTAGTACAACTTCTTCTAGCGAATACATTTCAAGTGGGGTTTTATAACAACTTTCGAGGTATTTCTTGAGAAACGAAGTATCGCTCTATGTGGAGAATTGGGAAATGGGCATATCGTGGAATCCGTGGAAGTTCTCGGTTCTTTCATTCTTTCATTCTTTTCTTTTGTACTCGGTTTGGATGGTGATAGAGATTCCACATTCTTTTTTTCTCTTCCTTTTGTCAATGCTAAATTCGCTACTGCTAATAAAATAAAATAATCACTGGCGTGAAAAGCCTATAAAGAGGAATAGAGTTTTAAAGCCATTTTTTAATAAAAACATCTGTTTAATTCCTATGTTTGTTGAGGATATACCGTGTTATCCGACGCCGTCTCCGCCAGTACTGCTATGCAGCGAAAGGTGGCATATTGTCCGGTTGGACTAATAGGGCTCCTCCCATATTTCTACCCTTCGCGCTCTAGCACCCCGCCACTCCGATGCGACGAACAGTACCTAATACATTCATGGTCCAGTTAGTTTTTGCTCATGTTTTTTTACCCTAACTGTTGTGTTGTGACTTGCTCTGGCGAAGTGTCGAGGCTTGGCACATAAACTATCACTCGATCATGGTGCAGACCCGGACATAAATTCTCACTCGGCTGTGGTCTGGCGTCATAAGGTATCACTCGATATGACGTATCTTGGCGAGAATCTAGATTACGGGAAAGTAGGGAGGGGAGTGAAGGCGGGAGGATTAAAAGGTTGAATAAGCTGTAGATTGGGTATTTTGTGTTCGGCTGGCGATGACGGATCTATGTCCACCGTGGCCGAAGATGTATATAAAACACAGCCTGGGGTATTAAGCAGGCGCACAGCTATGGTTAGTAACTGCTGGTCGTTTATTCTGAATTCATGTTATTAATATCCTGTCTGAATCTAAGTCTGTGCCGTTGGATTAATCGGAAGAGAAAAGTGATGTTTGGATGCGTTGGACATTTTCAGGCTGCTACTGATCGAGGTTCCACTATTTAAGGTCTAGAGAGCCTATCGCTATAAATATCTGGATGCAGGAAGATAAGAGTGATCATAGTTTAATTAAACGAGTTGACAGATGGGCGTTAGATGTGGTTTATAGACCGGTCTTATGAACGATCGATTAATTCCATCTTCTATCAAGCTCAGTACTTGATGTGATGCGATAAGGTAGCTAGCAACAATAGCTCTGAACGCAGAAACTTTAGCTCCGGTCGGCTGGCGAGGTATGACGAGAGTTTTTGAATATGCCAGGACCGAGCTTCAACGTGTAGCTTTGCTGTCTTTTTGTTTGGTCCTAGAGAGGGCATTTTTTATTTCGTTTTCTCATTGCTTCTTCAGCTGGGGTTACATCTCGGTGGAATGGCGTTTTATATAGAGATAGTTCAAGATGATCGTGATAAGCTGAGCCGTTGAGTGGAAACTGTATTCAATGGACGTCATTAGCGAAACTTGATCGATTCATGGCTTGTAAATAATGGCTGATTGCTTCATACGAAACATCCACGTTTGTGGCGGGCGGTAGTGTGAACACATAGAATAACTACATGTAATGACAAATAGCACATGTATATATCAATGCTATCTTTGGATCATCGGTTGCCGTCGCGTGAATGGAGTTTTACTTTGGCCAGATTCTTCATATTCGAGTGATGATTCATGATTAGATGTATGTGATATCGAAATGTAGTGAAACGGCGGCCCGAATCACTATCTGAAGGGAAACGGAGAATTCAATTATGAAGTTTTTGGGTCGAGATGTCTAGATTTAACCCCGCCTAACCCTAATCCCTTCCTTCGTATGTTTAACACCGCATCAAAATCTCGCTGTTTGCCAGCCGTGTAGAAGTATTGCAAATAGGAGTGAACATTCTCGAGATCCCCCTGTCTTATTTCCAGGCTCTGGAAAGTAGTATTTAATCTTTTGGGGGGCCTATGAACCATCACCTGTTGTTCAGATTACTCCGCTGCCCCGACCCTACGCTTTCAAGCTGGACTTCAGCTCAATAGACTTTTAGATCCCTATAAGCTCTTTCGGTAAGCGACTCCAATAGCTCTCTCGTCCCGGGGTATGTACTACTAGGTAGGCAGTCTTCAAAATCTATATCATGCAAGCTCCTCCGCCACAACTTCCGAATAGCCTCAATAACCATGTGGTGAAACGTGTTCGGGATATTGATAATGGGTGTCAAAAAGCTTCGGCCACTTTCTCAGCCCACTACTTGTGCAATTAAAAGGCCAATTTATGTTCCACAATATCAAGAAGAAATATTGCTCCAGTAATTTCCCACTCTAGTACTGCCCTATTCCGCCGCCGCCCGCGGCTCAGCGGTAGCCATAGAATGATCTGGCCAGGAATCATTCCCGGCAGTCAGAACTAGCGGTACACTCTCCTACATAAAATCGTTCTTTGAGCCATGTTGGCTATTATTATTATTCGATGTTTCTGTCGTCAATATTTATAATGATGTTCGCTCGTACTAGAGCCGAAGCCAGCCACGAGCTCACTCATAAAGAGCAGTTTATACCGACTAACGCAAGGCTCAAGCCGATTCAATGCGGCGGATAGTAGCGGGTGAAGCTTTTCCCGGTGCTCTTGCGCACACACTTAAAAACACCAGGAACATGATTGATACCCTCCACCGCCTGCGATATCATGTTCAGACATTAGCGTAAAAAGGTCGAACCTTTTAAGGAGGTACTATGTCAAGATCTTTGGTATCCAGCGCGCAATTCCTAGCAAGTTTTGAAGCCCGATCCGTGCTGAGACGGTGTACAGTGGGTTAGGTCCGGTAGAGTGTGTTGATGATAAACCTTTTCTGGGCAATCTTTCGATTTTTGGGCACAGATGTCGCTCGAAACTAGTTTGGCCGCCGTAAATGCGGCCCTCCGCGAGCGTCGACCGGAGGTTTGGTGGGCAGTAATCCTCTTAGATCCTCTTCGTTGTGGTAGGCAGCGGGCACGCCAGGTGTCATGGCCTGGGCGGCCGCGCTCGCACCCAAGCAGCTAGCACTACTTCCGCCAGGTACCGGGAAATTCTACCGCCGTTCGATTCGGAGTCGCGGGGAAGCCGTAAGTCAAGCATCGAAACAAGGTCGGCGGGCTGCGCAGACTACCATAATGCTCGCCGGTGATGCACATCACGAATGTTGGCAGGAACGCTGTCATGTCAGCGGTGGCGTCATGGATCTCGTGTATATATGTATGGCGACACTCTGTCGTCGGTTGGCAACTTGGCGTAGTGGGCATTGGTTACATGGGTAGGAAGTGCGGCAGCGGAGGCGAGTTCGGCGGGGTTGGCCAAGCAGAGGTCGCAGACACTTCCGCGCGAGGCACCCAGCGTTCTTCCAAGCAACAGCCATTCCAGTAGTGGGGAGACATGAATCATGCAGTGAGGACAACATATCAATGTCGATCCTGACCGCAGTGCAGGGGGCCTGACGTGGGGGCGGGGCGGGTGCACAGGGGCGCGCGGGTAACATGCTGTATATATTATATATACGGGGATGTGCAGTCCGGTGGGTGGGAACAGCAACCTCAGGCGTCATTCCCACCCTACACTCCCACTCCCCAAACCGATATGTCCGCATAGAGGTTGCCCTAATCTAAGATCCTGTGCTGGAAGGGATGGTTCGCTGTTAGGGCTTCACCCAAGTAGGAAATTTTGATTGTGCAGACCTCGATGATATTAATATAGAATGGCGCCAAGCCCCGTTCGTGAGATTAATATTCGATATGACACGTGACATTGCTCCTCTTTGCTGGGAGTTTGCTGAACTGTGGTGTTTCTAGTCACAATCTACCGGTGAGTGAGGAACAGTTAAAGGTGAAAGTTAACGTACATACGGTTACATTCTCTAGAGGAGCCGGCCCGCAGCGGCGGAAGGTCAGACCTTTTTCTCCCAGCACCGTTCACCCCCGGCCCCGGCTGAGGGCCATCCGCAGGTTTGTAATATAAAGACTTCAATACCAGGAGTACACTCGAACATAGACACTAGACCTGTGGGTAAAATGTGTGCAGATATATGAATTGCCTTGCAATCTGTTTCTGTCGGAACCCCGGATTATGCTGGTACATCTACGGGTGGATTGATGAACGAAGTAACGAGGGGAGAGTATTGGTGGAGAGGTCATGATCGGCCGGCTGTGGGGGTGTACGTGGGGTGGTTTACGTATTGTTCCTGCGTGGGTACTTGTTGCGGTCATTACATGTATCTTTGCGGGCCCACGGTGCCTCTTGGTATTCAGCTCGCAGCAATAGGCCCCGAGTTTATAGGTTTCAGGGTAGTATGATAAGGCGTTTCATGACCGGTATCTTTAACTCTATATGTATATACCTTAGTGTACTGTGTTGGTATCAAGACTATTAAATAACCGGTGGGAGGTAAAAAAAACTTGAAGAACGTAAAAGGATTACGTACCTCGACCTCCCTGAAAAGGTGATGAAAATGCTCGGATTTGGGCTAAAACAGTAAACATAGCGGTCCAAAGCCACGACCACCACCAGCAGACGTATGGAATAGGAGTCCCATAATCTATAGTATGGGAGTCTCGATTGATGGAGGAGGAGGTTGATTCCAAACAATCTTCTCGTACCACTCTGTAGATAGCGCTATTGAGTACAAGTAGCTTCCACGTCATGGTTTGAGGTTCGGGAGTCTCTGAATAAGGCTGACACTATTAGTCAGCAGTCCTACAGGAGGTGTTTCTGTGTCCTCGGGTTTCAGAAAGCCAATAGTATCTCGGCTTGGAAATACTCGGATCTCTCTAAACCATCTCCTGTCTCATCATCGTTCAACTCAACTTTGCGCAATCCGACATCTCATCTACTATCCCTTGGACGGATGAAACTCTCAAATTCGCAGCTTCCCTCTTTCAGCTAATACTAGCCCTATCCAGTAACTCGTGCTGATTTTTGATTGGCTGTATTATTATTACCGCACACAAAAAGCACGAAGGTTACCTGGCTAAGTGCGTGCACGGTCCAGGCTGCGAATTTGAGAGTTTCATCCGTCCAAGAGATACTCCCTCACAAATTGAGCTTCTTCGCTCTCCCCCGCGCCGCCCTTCAAATTCAGTGGGCAAATTCTGAAGTCGCTAATTAGCTAACACCTCAATTCTAGTTTCAAACACCATAACTCTCTTGAAGTTCCAAGCTCTAACGACATTGACAATGTACAACTCTTCAGTCACCCCCGTCGTGTTCACAGCCTTGCAGTACAACTATTCCGGTATCAAAGGGCTATCAGATCACCCCCCATGTGGATGACTTTCAGCTTACTGCGCCAAGGCCTTTGATCTAACATTGACGAGGCCTATAACCCTGACCTGAGCGGCAAAGTAAGTGGGGTACCGGACAGTCACCTACGCTCAACAATGTACTTTAGAGACCTGTACCAAGCTGGGTTTTAGCCCCCACCTGAAAAGGGCAGAAATATTTGTCGCCGGAGGGGTAGGTAATCATAATGAAGCATGCCTAGCTGTGTACGTGTGTATGTAGGCAGAAGAGCTTTGTCGAGTCAATCATATTCAGGCTTTCTTCAAGAGCCTATCGTGATTCGACCTCATCAAGATTTCTTTTTACAAATCATTCAGACAAAGTCTATGTATGTCTTACCGGAAAACACCCCGTCAATAAAAGACAAGTGATTTTCGGGCACGGTTGAAGGAGTGGGAACGTGGTCTGTTGTAAAGAAATGATACCTTCGTTACCTGCCTTTATTATGGTCCTCATGCTCAGCAGTGCGATAAATCACCAGAAAATTCGGCCGCCGTGGAAATGGAATTGGCAACGGTTCATTGCTGCAGCTGCAACTCCCGAAGGCATAGATTGATCCCACAAGGCCTTTCCGGGAGGATCCGCAGCGTGGGTAAACCAGCTGCAGAGAATGGTGTATATAAAGGTAATACAATACTCGATCTTGTTTCGATTCTAGAGTCATCCAGAGTGCTATTCTTTGTGCTCACACGATGCTCGTGCTCAGTTTCGAGTGTCGGTATTGTTTATAGCCTACGTTGTCATATCCTGTGTAGGTTCTCAAAACTGCTCCTGCAGACGCGATAGTTAACACAGTCGGCGTGCAGGACATGCGATTGGAAGATGATGCTGGTAGGTTCGCCGTTACACAATTCCTTTCGAGGATGTTATGATACGTCAGTCTCATTGCATCATCATTTTGCATGGCCCGTTAATAAATGCAATGTTACACGGTTCCTTCCTCGCAGCCTTGTTCCTTGGCTATAAACTTGCATAATATACATGTGGCTTCGGTGGAATGATTTCTCTTGATGTTTCGTGTGTATGGTGAATGACCCTGACAACCCTGTTCTCACCCTTCATCGTAATAGGTATCTAAAAGAATCTGTTGAAATAGTCGCCCTCTGGCGCTTCCTCTCGCATAATTACCTACCTCTCACCGGCGGACCTTGGTATTAAGCACCGGATTGACGATATTTAAGATCTCTCTGTCCTCTCTTGTGGCATCGCAAATTCAACCACGAAATCATTCATATTCACAGCGGTGAAGAGGAGAAAATGGAAGAAGATTTGGGCTTTCCGTATGTACATTTATTTAATTCACAATTGGCCGACGTATGCGTGTGCGATTATCAACCGATTCTCAAAGTCAGTTTACTAAACTTTTCACTCATCTCAAGAACTAGTAAATACCTCGGCGGTCTTCCTTATCACCCTCTTGAGGAGCCCATAAGACCTGAAGAGAATATCGGCCGGTCGGCGTTCCGCTACATTGCTGTTCTAGACGACTATATGTAAGTTCTTAGGCGGATATATCTGGTCAATATATATATAACAAAATCTGACTAGACCTCAAGTGAAGACTTGCCAAATAACTTGCATATCGACTATGGAGCCTGCGGTTCACGCCAGATGCGGGAGGCGTATAACGATGATCTCCCCCAGCCGGGCAATAACAGTTATCATGAATATCCCTTCGTCGTCGTGAAAAGAAAGAACAACGGGGATGGGAAGCACAGTTTGAAGTATTTATTTACAGCAGAGGCTTACGCGAAATGATTTTGGAGGCTCTGGGCTTGGATGGTGCCCATGATATGTCTAGACTCCAGGATGGGGCATATCTCCTACGAGCCTGGGATGATCTTCGACAGTATCTTTATAAAAAGAGGAAGACTTACAGAACTCCAGCAGGTCCCTGGAGTCCTGGGGGCGGCGGAATCGCAAAAGAGATCACCGGCCTCCGCCATACAATCGCCGAGCTTGAACTTCTGGTACATGTGTTTTTGGAGAATTGGGATATACTATCTGCTGTCGGGATTAATGAGCTCCTTGAACAAGGATATATAACCTCGCACCATTATGATGCTATTAACGAGAGAATGTCTGTTCATCGAGAGCTTGATGACCTAGCAGACACGTTCCGCCAATCTGGTGATAGATCAGAACTATACTTTGATAATATGAAATCCTGGTCAAATAAAATGCAGATAAAACTCGACACGCTTAAAGCTTATTATAGGGACTACCCATGTTCTGCATGCCTGAGGGAGAGGAGTGATTGAGACTTTTCGCTTTCATGCTTAATATGAGCGGGCGGACCGGGTGCCACTGCCACCCCTCTGGGCGGCCAAGAAAGTACGTCCTTTCTGGCATCTTTGATTTTGTGTTACCATACAGATCTAACTAAACTCTCACAGAGACTTGGAAAAGTCGGTATCAAAACAAAGAACGATGGGCCTTATCAGGATGACTCTATACTGCAAAGCAGAGATAGAAAAGGACTTCTACCTTGAGAGGGTTGTTGATCTGGCAATTAGGGAGGAGAGGGGCGACCTGAGTATTGCAATTGGGTACTTTCAGGAGGTTATAGGTGATTGCATCAAACGCTTGATAAGTAACGTCTAACACTAACTATAGACTTACCGTTTTTAGAGGGCGAACGTCGAGCACTAGAGGACAAACTTATTAATACGAGAATCCATCAGTTGGAACAGGAACAGTCCCGGCAAGAAAATATAAAACTCCTGCGCCTAAAATTTAAGTTGGAATACGATATTATATCACAATATATTCAGGGTGCTCGGACTGCCAGACCGCTCCGGGAGTTCGCGGCTCGATTTCCACACTCACGAGACTTTTGGGATAAGGGGATCAGCATCTTCCACCAGTTTCTTGATGGTAACCCGCCTAGTACGCTTATACGGGCATTGAGTTCAATCTCCGTCTCGATCGCGATGGCTTCTGTTTTGGATACGGTTGGAGAGAGTTTTGGGATGCGGGACGACGTTATTGCAGATACTGGCCGATGGGGAAGGGAAATTCGCTCCGCCCATGAAAAACTATTTTTCGAACGAACCTGCAAGAGTATCTGGCTTAGAAATTCCAGTGTGGAGGGATCCGACCACGACTATTCGGAAAGTGGTTATACGCCGCACTACCGAGATTCGCTCAAGGAACTAGCCAGAAATCTGGTGATTCATTCTAGGGGGCTTTATCGACCCTCCTCCATTCTAAAGGAGAATCCTTCTTTCAACGATGATTCCCCAGGTTTTCAGAATGCTGGTCAACGATCATCTCTCCAATATCCAATATTTCCAACGGGAATAGCGGGGGGGGGGGGGGAATATTACAGAATGAATTTGTCCCGATAACCGAGGAACTTGAGGACTATCCGGATCCGCCTAACTTCATGCCAAACAATATCACGTGCACCTCCATTCCGCATCCCGATATCCCTATCCTAATCCCTCCGGATCCCATTCAACCAGCGCCATCGGTACCAGGAACGGATTCAGCGCTGGAGTGGTTCCTGGTTATAATGGCTGGTGCTGTCTTTACCGTCATCATAATTTTCCTGCATTGTTTGTACTAACTATCCCATTTCTATTGATCAGAAGGGTGCTAATGTTCTACGGGATATAGTTATGAGAAGAGGATCGCAAAAGTTCCAAGACGTTGTGCAAAGCGAACTCTTTGACGCTTTGAGGGGGGACAAGAGATTCACCTGCTTTGATGGGGTCTTTAAAGATGTACTGACTGAAGTGAAGTCACAAAGGTTAACCGGGTTCTATAGGGTTGTTTCATATATCCAATTGGAAGCTCAGGTATGTTCAACTCACATATATAAATGACGGCGCTGACAGGAGAAGTTGCATTGCCTTGACGAGATGTATGACCAACAGCTGTTGTCCCTCCGCAAGACAACCAAGGCCTTACTTTTTAAGTGTGTTCATCAAGCGGTCTATACATATATCGGGCTTCAATGTGCGGAGCTTGAGATTAATCCCCCCCGGATGGCGATGAAACCACACGATGGCATCCTTGATGAGACCTTCTCCGGTGCGGAGGAATCACAAGTGCCACTGGAGGAGAATGCTCAAAGGTATGTTCAGGTGGGACTTCTTGTAAGTGTCTACTCTAACGACTTCAGGGCCAGGGTCCATACAAGCCCTGGCGTTGATGCAAAAGTCGATACAGTCAATCCTGCCAGGCCTGTGTCAGTAGTCTATTGCCTTCATCCGTGAGCCGCTCTTGCTAATTGGAGATTAGCGATCGCAAACGGAAAGCTCCCCCGTCAGTTCATGAGAAACCTTCTCAGCCGACTCAAAGACCTAAAAGGCAGGCGGCCGAAAACAAACTCACCTGCGATGAGTGTGGTAAAAAGTATTCGAACATAGGGAACCTGAATCGCCATATCGACGTTAAACATAATGAAGAGAAACAAGAACTTCGATGCGAATACCCGCCTTGTATTACAATCTTTGCCCGGCATGACGCCCGTGATGTGCATCATCGGAAGTTTCATTTATCCTCTATGGTCTCGGAGGGAGGTGATTCCGGGCTCCCACTAAGACATTTGTTGGGGCTCAGAAAATGAGAAATGAGGGGGAGTGGGAAGGATCTCTAACGCGTTAGATGCGCTTAACGTGGTGGGGTAATAGGTAGAGGGACCTCAGGTGAAGCCAGGCATAGTTAAAGCAGGAAGATAAGACGGCACTAGGAATCTGGAAACGATTCACCAAGTGGCGAGATGAAAGAGGAAGAGATGAGGATAGAGAGGAGGAACCTAGGGAAATGAGAATGGGGTGGGGTGGTCTGAGAGATAGCCCATAGACCCGCGGGGCAAGAGATCAGGTGTGCAGAAGGACAAATTGTTAATCGCAGTTTCTCGCAAGCTACGATTTCTTATTTTCATAAGTTACTATTGCTTACTTTCATCAAGTCACGATGATTTCCATTTGTTACAGGCTACTAGCCTAGGCGACATGACAGAGGAGGGAGAGACGAAAACAGAGAAGAAGAAGCCAGAGAAATAGAGAGGGGCTGGGGCAGCTTGCGGGACAGCCCGTAAAAATTATAAATTGTTTAGAAGTTACTTTCCTTATGTTATAAGTTGTTAGTTTAAGAGTTGGGTTTGTTTTGTTTAGTTTAGTTTTTTTTAGTTTTGTTTTGGTTCGTATTTTGAGAGCCGGAGGAAGTGATTGGGAAGTTCCGGGGTAGTGTGATATTGTTATAGACTACGGTCTGCATACAATTAATGAATTAAACAAAAAAAAAAAAAAAAAAAAAACCGTAGTAGCTCGGGCGAGGATTAGTCAGTGCGCGAGTGATGTTCGGTGATCGAGTGATTGGCCGTGAATAAGTGTGATCCTGAGACGAGCGGGGATGACGGATCATTTTCGTTCCGTTCCAGAAAGTGAAAGGGATAACTATATTATTTATCGCCTCCAGGAAGTCCAAAGTATCCAATCTACCAAGTCGCATCGTGCCGTAGTTTCAAATAATCTGGTTCCTAAAACTCGCGATGATGTGCCTTTGCGCGGAGGATTAGATACAATTGGGAGACCACCAGTGATATACTAAGTGTTAATTAATTTAAATATCTCTTGATATATATAGCCAGAAAGTTCACTCGCCATCTTCTAAAGAAATGTGAAGATCACCGGCGCTTGTTAAGCGTATGATAAGTTAAACGTCGTGATCTAGTTGGTGATTCGATTGGTTTCTAGTATGTAATCGGGTTGTTGTGGTATTTTGGGTGCCCAAGTGTTATTGCTTGTTCTGCGATGCCTGTTGATACCGGTTCCTACGTAGGCATTTGTGGTTTAATCTCAGATATTCATAGTTAGTATACGGCCACCATCATGCATTCGCAATACGATGCTGCCATGTTTTTCCTTAGCTTTACCTTCTGCCGACCGAAATTAAGCCTTTACCACTGTACACCGCCGGAGATCTGTTCTAGCAGCGGTTCTCAAGAACGTATATATGGAGTTCCTTAACCTGATTATGCTATTTTTCGGACCCAGTATGATCTTGAAAGACGGCTAAGCCGGCGCACGCGTGGGGAATGCCAATTCCGGAATCGTCACTAGTTTATCACGGGACGAGCGGTGCGTAGGCGGGATACCTGGAGGCATCGAGGAGGGGTTGTGGGGTTTGACGATACAGAGAAGAGGGTGGGAACTAGCAGAAGTATCGCCTGAAGCCGGGTATCAGATCGGAAAGGGCCAGTAGTCGACGTGCCTGTCGGGACTAGCTTTTAGCCTCTTGCTGCCCTCGAGTGTGGGAATATATGTACCCGACAACGTGATTCTTCCCAACTGACCTTAACAAAAATGAAAGGTTTCACTAAGGTTGGGCTGTGGTTCGGTGTCGAGGCGGTCACATCTCATAAGCAAACAATTCCTCTCGTAAGAGCAACGTATCTGCTCTGAATGAGTCGCTTGGTAGATACATGTAGGTTTGTCCTAACGCCATGTGTATCTTTTGGGCTTTTAATTATAAACAGACCAAACATCGTTGCGCGCGCCGGACCTGATCGCACAGCCCCGCTGAGCTGAGACCCTACCACTATAGCCCACATATGCCCCGATAATAACATGCTATCTATCAAGTTTGGTGTTCTTTTTCATATAGTTCTACATTTTGGTTAACTCCATGTACGTATATAGGATGTATAAATACATGTATATGTACACAGATACGTTATAAATTACATGTAGTGATGCCTCTCGACAGCCATAGATCTTTGCTCTAACATGTTATATATATAATATACAGGTAATCACTGTCCAAAATAGTCAAAATATGCCTCAGAATCCTCAGAGTCAGTAGGATGTAGCGACTCCTCAGGTTCACTAGGGTGTAGCGACTCCTCAGGTTCACTAGGATGTAGCGACTCCTCGGGTTCACTAGGATGTAGCAACTCCTCAGGCTGATTAAAGTCCCATTCATCCTCCGATCCTATCTCTATCACCGGCATCTTCCCAGCTCTCTCTACCTTTCGTGGCTGTTCGTCATCCGACAATATAACTATAACCTCGCTTTCCCTTTCAATCGTTTTGATTTCGTTCGTCTCCCTATCCCCTAAGCCTGGCTCTGCAGTTTCCGATGTCTGTACTGCATTTTCTAGCTTCTCTGTCTCTCTCTTGGTGATGCCCGCTTCTTTCTCTTCAGCCCTTAGTACGTCTGCCTCTTCTTGCCCATGGGCTACATCCTGAGCGCCGTCGGTCTTTTCGTCCCTCTTCGGCTCCCTTTTTTCTTTCTTATTAGAGCCTATCTGTGGAGGGAACCTTATCTCTTCATCCCTTCTCAATTGCTCCGCCGGCTCTTCTTTATCAGAGGCTATTCCTGGATTATTCTTGGTCGCTTCATCCCGTTCCACCGGCACTGTCATTCCACCAACCAAAACCCGCATAGGTTCCCTTTTTCTTCCCCTGATGCTCCTTTTTCGTACTCTACCTTCCTCCTCACTATTGCCACCGTTCTGACTGCCTCCTTCTATCTCTGTTCTCTTTCTCTTCCCCCCTTCCTCTCCAACCGTCACGATCCCAGCTCTACAACCATCGTCCAGACTACCCCCTTCATTCTTTCTCTTCCTTTTTTTCACGGCCAGACGTCTTTTCATCAAAACCCAACTCTTCTTCCCTGCCTCATTTATGAGGCCCCTTAACTTTCTCCTACACTCCACCACCTCACTCGCCTCCGCCGGCAACACCATATTCTCTAGAATATGCTCTTCCACTTGCTCACGTGCCTCCTTTGGTAGGTCTAGCCATCTATCGCAAGAATTGTTCCATACTTTGCGAAAGGTACCCTTTGAATTCCTAATTAGCGGCAATTATATCGGGGTGGATGCTCTGTAAACATACCTGTAGATCCAGAACTGTCATCGTATAACCGGTCCCAATAGCTAACGCTACAAAAGCATCATCAGAGGCGCGATTCATGGTCTGAGTCGCTGCGGATAGGGTCAACTCGCTAATGCGGGCATGCCAGTTAGGATCGCGAGATGCAGGTGGGATGCTCGACAGATTCTTCAGTTTTACTTCGAGGCTGGAGAGCTTGGTGGTGAAGTCTTTAGTGGGAATGAGTTCTGTCCGTATCATTCGCTACGGTTTTGTTCCATCAGTGACCAAGGCTTCGAAGAGTTGCATTGTTAAAACAGCATGCGCAACTGCCCCCCCTCCCCACCGGGGGGCGAAAGAGGGCGCGGCGCGGGCCAGGGCTTAAGTATTGGAACGAAAAGACACGACAAAGGAAATATAGCTCTACCTTTAATCTATCGCTGGTCATAGGGTCTCCGAGCGCTGACAAGAGCGATCTAAAGGGATTCGCTTCCATATCTTAGTGCTGAATGGAGGAATGACTGCCTTGTCTCCGAAATAAAGGTATATTTTGAAGTACCTGATTTTTTTCCCATAGGGCTCTTAAAGGCTTTAAAGTCAGATGTACATTTATTAGGAAACGATTGAGCAAGCCAAGCGCATTAGGGTTCAAACAGGCAGCGACAATAACAGGCCAATGGCCTTGACAAAGTACACGCGCAATGTCGCATTCTTCAGGCAGACCATATGCGATAAATTAAACGCCAATGACTCATGCATGATGAAAGTTGTTCCGTCAGGGAGAAGAGATATGCATGTGAACCTTTCGGGCACTCCATGACCCTAAGCGCTCAAGGGCGCGACATAAAGTGTCAAGGATGCAGCGCAGGGATAAGTGCCGCCTCAAATAGGATTTGCAGCAGGCACGAGATAGGTTTTGACACGAGTTCACGCGTTCTGCATAGTTTATTTCTTCGCCCCATGGGATGGCGGCTACGCTACCCATACGGGGGTACATTGAAAATTTCTTTACTTACATACCGCTTTAGACGCTACCTTCAAATAGTTTCACGACTTACCTCCCCCCCACCCCACCCCCAGACGGATGATACCAAGCCCTGTATAGCGAGGAATGTCGCTTCGGACCCCAAGCTGTCTACTGGTGATTGCCTGGTTATTCTTTTCCCCCCGGTTATAACGCATATCGTAATGGGATAGAGTTTCAAGGGTGTTGTTGAGTGGATAGACATTTAGTTGGCGCATTGGGCTGTGTACCGCTACCCGGACCATGTCAGCTCCAGTACGTTGCCCCACCACCCGAAATACTTTGATGGCTTAAGCTTTGCCCCAGAGGCTGGCTCTGCTGCATGAGAAACAGATTTCCAAAGATATGTCAAGCCTACATATATCTGGAGTATGTTGCCCCACCTCCTTGCAGGCTTCGTTATCTTTGGTGTAACGAGTTTTGTATCAGGAGGGAGAGGTCTTAAAGTGGTGGCTTCGGCATCTGCAACGAGATCTAACTTAATCTAGTAAAAAATCTATATAGTATCCGGCGCAGCCCAATGTGAACGTTACCTGACGATTCAGTGGACCAGATAGCCAAGATTTGGACCCAGGGCCATGGGTCTGAAGCCTTTGGATTCCTCTGAACTGTCAGATTCCAGATTCTATCGTAATAATATGTGTGTTACAATAGAACTTGGAAGATCCTCCCTTTGAGTACATCTTAATTCTTTATTAGATATATCAATGACGGAAGATTCCTGCCAATTCAAACCGCACTTTACTCGTTTCTCGGCTTACTATTCGGTGTATCAACCGAAAACTACAGAAGAATTCCAATATCCTTCTAATCAGTATCTAGATCGATCTCCGGGCACACCACACTACGTCAAGCTCAAAGGCCCAGGTACCATCGGGTGGGAATGACCCGTGACGATGTCCTAAAGTAGAAGGCATCCCAAATGAGCAGCCCCTGTAGAGTAGTAATCAATCTGATTGAGCATTGATTGTAGAGGCACATATTTGTATTACCGGACTCTCGGACTACTTATCAAAAGATTTGGGTAGATGCAGAAGAAAGGAGTCCAACAACATGAATGACGTGCTCGTTTAAATTATACCATGGTCCGTTAAAGCTGATCAGCCTTATTTATTGGTTCCCAACGAATAACAATAACGGGAAAGATGGTGATCAAAGATTGATTCAGATCGAATATTTAGTAGGAGAATCGGAAATTTGTTAGTGAAGTTGCACTATTTGGCCTGCCAAAAAGAAGATCGGAAGGCCAATGCAATGGCGATAGGCCAACGTACTACGTACTTACCACTAATCCCTTCAGTCATGCAGATTTAAACATAAGTGGTAACTACAACCCTGATCATCCTCTACCAATTTCACTGTGAGCTTGTCATTTTATGGTTTTGGAGGTATCTTGAAACATTTACCAGCCTGACTTGATTTACCAAGTAAACAGTTAGATTTTATCTTCTATTGCCTAGAGCTAGGCAATGTATGCCAGCCTGTGAACTTCATTTCCTCTGAAACCCACGCAGTATTGCGTCAAGAAGATATACAACCAAGTACATTCTACTTTGAAGTAATATGGTACGACATGCAGGACATATGCCAGGATGACTGATTACACGAGAAACATCCTTATTTCTTTTATCTGTTAATATTGATTAACTACCCACCTCCGTTAGATACGGCTGACTAGGTGTGTGGTCCGCAGTAGGTCGTGTAAACCCATTTAAGCTAACCAGATAAGTAGTTCAGGATTGAAGCTCCACCAATTACGGGCGCCGAATATACAGCCGGTAGTAACGCTCCGTGTCTATCCCCTGGGCCGGTGAGACATGCAGATTCCAGGACTTCCTATTAAAGCAAGGCCCAGTCACGTTTCCTCGAATGATAGAGCGTGGCTTAGTGATTAAGCATCAGGCTCAGTGACTTTGCCACTGGAAATCACTACTGAGATAGGAAGTCCTGGAATCTGCGTGTCTCACCGGCCCAAGGGATACTAATATTTCGCTGACGTTTTTGAACTGGGCCATTATTGCATACACCCAAAATCATGAGCTTGGCATATTTTTGTATGGCATGCAATATCAGTCGCGTCCACAAACGTCAGAGAAATACGAGTAGGTAAAATCACCGCACTAGCTCCTGTCGATGCGTTGATCATAGGGCTTTGGGCAGTATTACACTTTGAGCTCTGGACTAATCGGTTCAGTTTTACGTATCTCATCCGAATAACAACAGTCCACGGACCCTCAAGGCAATTAGACAACTCAATTAGGAGGTGAAGTGAAGTCCCACCTTCCTTTCACAGACAGGAAAGCTACCACATAATGAAACCATTCCCGCAGGCTTCCTAATTGGCGTTGAAAGGCCTTGTCAATGCTTGCGCATGTGATACCTGAGCTTCTGCATGGTGGGTTGCGAAAGAGTCCCGGCCGGTTGGGCAGACCCACACAATGGGGTCCGCTATTGAGGATATTTTAGCCGTCTTAGTGTATGTGGGTTGATCGGCAGAGAGTTTGTGTACCGGGGGTTATGGGTTAGTCTGAAGAACTGTTTTTTGGCGTATGATTGGTTGAGGCTGCAGAAAAGATACTTGGCGCCAGAAAAAGTACTTGAATAGGCTACCCCCCATCTTTTGCAACGCAACCTCCGAGACCACAATTTTACTGTTGTTTGCACCCAGCTCCATCAGAAAACACTCCCCACAAGGGCCTATGAGCTCAAAATATTATCTAGGGGAAGCTGGGAGCCAAGGCTATTCTGCAGTTATTTTTTTGTATTTTTATCAAAATATTTAAATTTTTGAGTGAAGATATATGAAAGTTCTTCAGACTTTTTACCCCCATACAAATTTGGCGTGCTAAGGCCGGTGTGATTGGAGATAATTGGTTACTCGCCATAAAATCCCTGTATTTTCAACCAATCAAGCAGAGTTCTTCAGACTAATGGTGAACACCCGGTACAGAGACAGGTTTCAGTGCGTGGTTAGAACCGTACGGTCGGGGTTGTCTGCCTGTTTGAATGTTTCCTCGTTCGGTGCTTGGGTGTTTACCTTCTTCTCCAGGTATTGTTTGTTTACCATATACCTGGTTGTCGCTTTGCAATTTGCCTGGTAGTTTCCTTGCCGGTCTCATACCAGATCTGTTTCCACAAAGTGCAACAACAAGGACAGTCTGGGAACGGGATTACTATTCACCTGTTTATCTGACTGCCTACCCTGGGCGCCTCGTGGAACAATACCGTACCGATTACGCCAAGCCATGACGTCCCCAACAGGAAACAAAGAACGTACCGCAAAGGGATGTTGTTGTTTATTAATCGGGAAACTCATCCTTTCTTCCCTCTTTACTTCCTCTCTACCTTTTTATCATTATTGGCCATGATCACTCCCCCTCATGAGAACGTTGAGATTTGATTACCGTGTTCTGCGGAGGTCTTTTCTCTCTGCGTCTTTTGTCCTTGGTGAAGGGTGATTGTGTGCAGGGTTTAGAAGGTGGTGATGTTTTCTCTCTTCGTTTTCGTTTTTTCTATGCTCGACGAAACATACAAGCGGCAACTTAGGGGCCTGCTTCTCATCCTCGTGGTATGTTACAGGAAACACGAACACTGCTCCTAAGTCAAGGAACAAGGATAATACGAGTGATGGGTTGTGATGCGAGTACGGTCGGGTAACGAAGGAATAAGCATAGAAAGGTACCGAGGGGTGTGGGGGCACCGGGTGCAACCACACTAGTATTAGGCTGTTGTGAGGGCACGTTTACTATTGGGTGTCTCACCCGGAACGGAATAGAAGCGGGGCTTATGGCTGCAGGCCATTCTTCTTAGGGAAGTAGCTCTAGGACAATAGCATGATACAGCTCGGTTACTGGCAATTGCGGGGTTCATGGTTACGTGTCGGAATTAGAATGGATGACCGGGACTATGCGGGGGCGCTTTTCTATTGGGGTTATCTTCGGGTTGATTGTCTTATTCTATTATCGTTATCTCATTAGTATTAGAAAGCGGGCCTTGGCATAGGTTCCAATATGTATAAATAGGGAAGGGTTCCGCTTCGTCTTAGTGGCATCATCAGTCACTCAGCGAGCGGAATCCGGTTTACAATATTACAAGTTTAAAAGCTACAGAACCATCGCTTAGCATTGGCATTTCCCCAAACATGGTAGAAGATGTAGGGCCAGGAATTCAAACCATCTTTCCGTAGAATACTCCACCCATTTTCACCTCGACCTACCTTTCCTCTCCCTCCCTCCATTTCTTGAGAGTTCTCGCCATTTCGCATACCGTCCTTTTCTGTTTACGTTAATGCTCCCCATTAACTCTAATTATTAACCCCGTTCTCGCAACACCACTGTGCAGTATAACCCCGCGACAGCAGCTTCTAGATATCTTTATATCAGTGAAAGAGCCCTTCTCCCTATGCCTGACCGCGGATCAATACATGAATCCCAAGCTTTAAGTTATCCTGATAAGTGTGAAGCCTGTAGATATTATCCATAGCACCTTTACGCTCCACGCGGATCTAGAGCTTTCGGCCTTCGGACTTTGGGAACATACGGTTCTGCTAGTAGTGGTCTTGCCCCACATCTGAAATGCGGCGATATAGTTGGATTTTAGGGTGTAGATTATGGTTGAACCTTTCAGTATTGTTAGTCCGGGAGTCATGGGTTGGCTGTAGATGCAGTCTTGTTTGTGTTAGGAAGGCCATCATTTGGTTGATACGTCCGACTTGTAGGCTGACCAGAGGCTTAAGGTCTCCATCCCGAGGCTTCGCGATGCTGTAGAAAGTAGTCCTTCGGGATCTCATTTCTGTACTTAGTCTTGCGGGGTGAGGCGTGGTGGACTTGACGTTGCAGTCCGTTTCAGAGAGATGTATGGTCGTCCGTAAATTAAATGACACGAGAAATTAAGCTTTGCTACTGTTGTCCTGTATTCACCCCTCGTGTTGTCCCGCCACCCCACTACATGTACTCAACGTTCTCTTTCGACCACTTGCGTTCTCCCCTACCCACCTTCACCCTCCGGCCCACCGCTACACGCCGGAAGCTTGGAAACCTTCACACCCGAATACTAACGACCTGATTCCTTGGAAACCGATGTTTTTCGGCGGCTGTGCGTATGTTACCCATTTTGCTTCACGCTGAGACCTGCTGACAGCTGGCTGAGAGGTCAAAATATTCTGGTTTTTCTCTTTGCTTCTTAACAACTGGTATGTATGGGGAAATATAAGGAGCTATGATCATGGCACTTGCATTTTGACTTGGTTTACCGACGTACGCTTTCTCTCCCGGTGGTGCCCGCTCCCGGCATCGTTCCCGCTCCCGCATACCCGCAACCCCACGACTACCCTCGCAATGCTGTTGACGGAGCACATTCCCGTCCCACAGGTACCACTTACCATATCAAAGAGCGGCGGAGAAGCTTAAATCCACCCATCAGACGGGGATACAGTACCAGACGCGGGCCGAATATGGTCATTAACGGCGCTACAAAAATGCGCAAGATCTGTAATTCTATGACACACAAGCAGGTACAGGAACACGACGAAGTGTTGCCACGTCGGATGACTAGCCCCAGCGCATAGTAGTGTCGATTGATTAAGGGAGAATCTCGTATCTCCGTTTGGCACCCGCCCCGCACCAGGTAGCGCACGTGGAGGTGATTATCAATGCTGGAGTTGACAGCGTGCACGTGGTATATATGTCGGTCTTGTTAGCGGCAGCATGTCAGGTGCTTATCACTTACCCAATGAATACCGCAAGACTTGCGCTGCACAAGAGAGATGTATTGAAAAAAGGTTCTAGCCTATACGCCGCATAGCTCATTGTGTCGTTGTGTCGAGTGAGACACTGTGACCCACTAGTACCAATGACTGTCTGTGCAGGAAGTTGTGACGTTGGCGACTATCGATGATTGCGCACACATGAAGGACTAGAAAGATCTCCTTTTTCACCGTGTCGTCATGCCGTATAAGGCCGCTTTCATCCCAAGCCATGCTTTAAACGCGGGCCGTATATATCCAGTTCGAGGTCGACCCTGCTCGCATGGTCCAGCCGGCTGAAGCCGGTGCGGGCTTGGTTATGCTTACCTGGACATCTCACTATCCGCGAACTCAGGTGCCAGCTAGCCGCTTCCGAGCCCGCCATGCCAAGGTTAGACCCTGCAAAGAACAGCAGTCACCCAACTTACCCCGCATCGAGGTACTCTTCTATCTCAATGTCTCTACTCGGCTCAGTGTCTATCGTTCAATAGCAACAACAACGGTCATCCATCAACGCGCTCTTTATAATTACGACAGGGGCGGAAGTCCTTGACCCGCACGACAGCTGAGCACTAAGAGGGTGTGCTGATGTCTGGTATCGGATGTAGTGGCTTTGCTCAGCCCAATCTTCAACTCAGTTCCGTTCTCCACCTTTGGGGGATAGGTTGGAATACAGCAATCATAGCGGCCCAAAACAGTGCTACCATGCTCTTGCCCACGACCGTCTATCAGTTTGATGGATGAGAGCGGTTGATGGAGTGACGAAAGCATTAATAACTCTGACAACAGAGCCTAAGGAGAGTTCAAGTCTATCCCGAAGCAACACCTACTCGACTAGAGACTTCAGCTCTCGTTTTAAAGAGCCAGGACAACAGCAACACTCAACAGCGACAACCCCAACGCTTTCGGAAGGTCTCTAGCCTTCTTCTTCTTCTTAGATCTATATATGAGTATAGGTCCACCCCACCCCCCCGCCGACTGTCATGGCTCGTACGTTGCGTCGCACTCCGCCAGATATTACGATGTCGTACGGGATCTCATTGAACGCAAAAGCTATTGCTATTGGCAAGCCGTACATTCCCTCGTTGTAATCCACTCAATAGGAGGCCCCCGACCACCTGAAGGACAGGGAGAGCAGATGCATTTTAAAGAATGGGTCCCCTGACTACGGCGGTGAAAGAAAAAGGACAAGAAAACCCTTCACGACAACGCGCTAGGTAAAGCTAAATCAAAGCAAATTCCACTATAACCTGCGCATAAGGAACATAGAGCAAGAGCATTGGAAGGAAATACCCACTATAACGAGGCAAAGGAAAATAAAAACACTTACCGATGGGGAAAAGCTTCGATCCAGGAGGACGGGATCAACAGAAGGAAACAAAGGGAGTTCTTCGCCACCAGAGAATAGGTACGAAGAGAGGAAAGAAAGGCCGTCCCTACAGTGAGTTGGCTAAAGGGGAAAGAGGCAAGGAAAGCTCCCCCATTAAAGGGTAGCTATAGAGAAGAAATGGAAGATCAGGATCTCTCCCAGTATAAGTCTCCCTTGATAGGAACGGACTGGAATGAGATCTAGCAGAAAGTATGCAGAAGAAAAAGAAACATGAGACAAAAGGAAAATCTTCCCCAAGCCGAGGCGGCTGAAAGAGAAAGACGGGAAAGACCCCCCATGATAAGGTAAGCAGAGAAAACAAAAGAAAACGCTCTCCCCCAGTATCTGTCTCCCTTGATGAGAAGAGGCTGAGAAGATATTCAATAGAAAACATGACACAAAAGGAACGCCTTCCTAAGAATAGGTACGCGAAGGAAATATAAAACAAAGCTATAAGAGAAGTCTGTCCCTCAAGGGCCGGACAAAGAGGGTGAGAAGACGAGAAAGAGCGGAAATGAACCAGAAGTGATCAGGAGAAGTCAAGAAAGGGAATTCCTCGCCATAATAAGGTAGGCAGGAAGAAAGGAAAGAAAAGACGTCCTCATTTAAGGCGAGGTGGCTAGAAAAGAAAGAGAAGGGAAGCACCTCCCATGAATGGGCGGGTATAAAAAAACAAAGGAGACATTGTCTCTCCCGGTATCGGACTCCCTTGATGGGAAGATACTGGGACAGAAAGATACGAAAGAATAAAACAAGATGAAAGGGAAACCACCCTAAAGAATAGGGTAGGCGAATGAAATACAAAACAAGGACATAAGAAAAGGTCCTTCCCGCGAGGGTCAGACTAAAGATGGAAGCGGAAGAAAGAAAACTTCAAGAAGATATGAAAGGAGAAGGGAAGAAAGGGAAGTTCGCGCTATAATAGGTTAAGGACGAAAGGAAGGGAACACCTTCTCTCCCAGTATTGGACTCACTTGATGCGAAGAGACTGAGACAGAAACTATTAATTCTCAAAAAATAAAATAGAGGAATGAAAGAAGACAAAGGGAACTTACCTTAACAATAAGGTAGGCGAATGAAACATAAAACAAGGACATATGAAATTCCTTCCCGCGAGGGTCAGACAAAAAGCAGAGAAAGAAGGAAATCCAAGACGGTGGTATAAGAAAAGAAGTAGACATGGCAAGCCTTTACAATTTGGCTCCCCAAAGAAAGGTCGAAAGAAATGCCTCCCAATACAGGGCGGCAAAAAGATAAAGAAAGGAAAGTTCCCAAATAAAGGGTGGGCAAAAAAGGAAGAAAAGAAGGAAGTCCATCTACAAGGGACGGAGGATAATGAAAGGAGGGAAAGCTACCGTCCTTCCTAGAATCGAACACCCTTTATGGGAAGAGTTGATTGCCGGTGATGATGAAGAGGAAGAGGGGAGGAAGCTCGGTATATATACTCTACCCTACCTCTGAAAATAAATTATTTTGGAATTAGGGCTTGCCCTTGTCAGCGAAAACGTTGGAATGCTTGTTTGTTCTAGAGCCTTCTAACCATATCCAGAGGTTTCAATTAGACGGGGCAAACAAACAAACAGGCAAACAATGTGCTCTATTGTAGTCTAGAATCTTCGGGGGCGATGCAAATAGGCAAAAACTGTGCTCCATGGGAGTCTAGCCTCTTCCCCCGAATGATGCAAACAGGCAAACAGGCAAACAGGCAAACAGGCAAACAGACAAACATGCAAAGACTACAAAGTATTTTGATTACCAGGTTTTCGACATAGGATTGTACTATTTATCATTAATAACACATGGTATCATACCCGCCAGACTTTTGGTTCCTGGCGGGCTAGTTCGGATTACATGGAGATAGGGCACGAGTAGATATAAGACATTTTAAGAGTCAGTTCCGTCGAGTGGAGGCGCTCAGGGGGAGATCGAAGGAGTATAGGTGTATCTCGGCAGTACCAGAAAAAAGAGTGGCCAATGTGTCCCACAACACTGTCGCCCACAGAATAGAGGAAGGCGAGACTTTTGAAGCGTTAATAAAAAACATTTTGATCCTCGAAAAGGCAGGCCGCCAGTCTCATTTCGGCCATAAATACAACTTACCATCCTTATTCTTTCAAATAGGGTAGAGGACGGAGTATCAAGAGCTTGTCGATGAGATAAATAACAGATACTCATGGAAGATGAGCTGAACTAAGAAATACCATTGCCTGGAGATGAATCCTCGAGGTGGCAACGGAGCAAGGACCGGTAGGTCCTCAGAACGTGACCCGATTACAGGTCTACAATCGAATCTACCAGTTTTCCTACACATCTATTCCGGCTCATTAGAACCACCATGACCTGAAGGCTGTATGTTCGTAAGGGTCATTAATTGTGTATCCGAGTGATCTCACATGACGCGAGTTATCTTTCATGACCGGGTGATTTGATATGATGCGAGTGATGCGTTATGATCCGATGTCAACACATATTTGACCGTTAGCTGCCATGTTAAGTAGTATATCATCAAACCAGGGAGAAATCATTACTTTGCGCGTTTCATGGGAAAAAACTGCTCTAGTGATCTTCACTTGAGATACGAAAAGGTTGATAAAGACTTCCGGTTCTTGGCGTTCTCACGCTGCTGGTGCTCGAGGTCTTAGTATCGAGAGCCTGGAGACTCTAGTGCTCAAAATTCTCGGATGAAGGAATGTGATAGTGATGATGAGTAGATTAAGTGGGTGCTGTAGCGTAGTTTTATAGGCTCTCCGAAACTAACACATAGGCTTAGCCGAGTCCAACCACGCAATCGTTGTGGCGTGTTAATACATTTGTTCAAATAATCTACGCCACGGTGTACAGAGATAGGCGTGTGAAGGTGAAAAAGCTAAACTTTCCCCCGTTAGGCCACATAGCTATCGATTAGGTGGTCAGTCCAAGTCGCAAGGAGTGACCGAAGGCGATATGGTTAACGTGCTCTACCGAACTCTCTTATTGTCTACTATTTCATTTAGTTTCCTGCCGTACTCTAAAGGCTCACCGGCCAATGATAAAACGAACATTGACGGCGTTTGAACGAGCACGTTAACCATATCTCGTTCAGTTACTCCTTTCAATTTGGACTGGCGACCTACGGCATAGCCGTTGAGCGGTTCGTATCTAGCCGCTCATGATGACACATGTATAGTCGCGTATTGCCGCAGATAGGCCTGAAGCTGAGTTGAGCGGTCAAAGCCTTTTACGTACGTTGAGCTTTCTGTTCGTTCAGGACCAGATCCTACACCTCCGGAGCCTCTTTAAGCTTTCCGAGATGGCTAATGGCATATAGATGCTATTAAACTAATGTCAAGACCTACCTCTACTATCCTAACCGGGTCGTTTTTATAGGCAGCTCATGAACACCGGCGATCCACAAACTATACTAAAAGATTCGTCGCTTTCTTAGGCCACCCGACGAATATTTTAGTCTTGTTTGTGGATTGCCGAGCTTCGTCAACCGCCTACAGCATCGTGATGTCTCGATCCACCAACCTGTTTCATGCTGCAATCCGCTCAGGACTGAGTTGGGTTGGGCGGCTCTAGGTCGTGATCTACTAGTTTCTACCTATTCGGTTCTTACGCGCTTTCCACCAGTTTAGTACAATTTGCTGTTCGGTTCCCCCGGATGAGAGGTATATAAAGCGGTTAGCTGAGACCTACCTGCAGAAATCTATATCCTGTTTATATCCACTGCTTGATATGACACTAACTGTCGGAATACCACGTAACTCGAGAGGCCGGATTGTAAATTTGTAAGTAGAGTATAGTCACGCAATGTGGAAACACATACCATACCTCACGACTTTCACATCGCGTTAGGATCCTGTAACCACAATTGGGTCTGGCGGTTGAAGGGATAAAGAGGCCTATAAAAAGTTAGTACAACCTGCCGAAATACCACTCTCCAAAAGCGAAGCATTCCAACATAGTACGAAGTCTCCGCAGAAGAGGCTTATTGAAGCAGATTACGATAGAACTCTTGATATCGATAGAATCGGGTGCTCAGCTCACCTTCTTACAGCGAGTGATAACCCATGACGCGACTGATAAGTCCTGAGCTACTCATGGACTATCACTCGCTCTGTCACCAGCCCGCTTTTGGGTCGGGCATTTAAGTTCCTCACTTACCTGCTATACTGATTCTCTATACAGATCAGAGAAAGGTT